TTGAGTCTTAATTTGCCTATTTAACCTCAAGTTTTTACTTATTTATATACATTGTATCAACAGCATATTGGATTCAGATTTACAGCAATTTCAATTTTAGCTTTCTTACTACCCATCCTTTCTCTATTATAACCTGAATGTCGTTATTATGACGGGTATTTCTCTTTTATTTCTACCTTGCCTTACTTTGTTGGGCTTTACCCATATACTTTGTAGTTTATTAACCTCCTGGGTTCAAAATATAACTCAAAGCTATATCATCTCGACTTTACTCATCAATCCCTCTGGATTGGTATATTCAACGTAACTTAAGGTTTAAGCATCATTAAATCCCCTCCTTGGGTACACATATTCTCCTACTTATCTTCTTCTTCTTTACACTATTAGCATCTGAATCCATATCTCTCCCTTCAACATATCATCAATTACGTTGTAACTTCTTTTTATTACAAATTATCTATTCTATGCTTATTGACTCAAAATATGCCCCCAGTTCACATAGTTATTTAACTTGTATAAATCTACACAAATTTATATTTTCTTTGCTCACTTCTTTACATGGGTTTCTCAAAATTTCACTTTGTATTCATACCATATCATTTCCTTTCTTTATAGATTTCCATTACTGCTGTGCCAGTATTCTAACATACATTTATATATTTACTTTACTTACTCTTTGTACTGCTTACTTACACTGTGATATTTAGATTATTATTCTATAACATAGTCAAACTTAAGTTTTCTATTGTTAAACATAACAAAGCTTCAATTACAATATTCTTATACTTCCTGGTACATATTGTCCATCATTGTCCTTGATTGTAAATGTTAAATTTCCTTTTAATGCTTCACTCATTGTCTTCTTCTTGTAGCACTTTCACTTACTCTCATTTCCCTTTTAAATTTCACTGAAAAATCATTTATCATGCTGCACTGTTGTCTTTACAACCAATTTGTTTACACTTTTCATTTATACATATACCTGTTTCCATGTTCTTTTACTTCCTTAATTTAACTCCCAAATTTACATTAGTGTATAGTACCTCATATCTAATCTATTCTTGAACTATGTAGGGCTTCAAATGGGTAATATGAAAAAGCCCTTTAACCTCCCCCAACTCATTCTGTAACTCATATAACCCAGAGTTTATTCTCTTCCTTATTAGGAACGGACCCTCGTATATTCGCTGAAATTTCCCGATGATACCTCGAGTAGCATCTGAAACTGGTGCACTTCTGACCAAAACTAAATCACCTACTTGGGGTTTCCATTCAAATCTACCCTTTTTCCTCTTACTCTTCCTTCTCTCTGCTTTGTCTTTAGTTCTACTATAAGCTTTCAAAATTTTAATAGGTAATTCTTCTTCAAGGGGCTTGTCTGGCAACTTCCGAATGATTTCTTTAAAAATTTCCCTTTTAGTTCCACCTTCCAATAATTCAATGGGTTTGTATCCTGTAGTCTGGTTGACTGACTGATTCAACCAGTCCTGAATGTGATTCACTAACTCAGGGTAACGGCTGATCTGCCTTCACCTGGAATTTATACTTCAATAAACAGCACTTGCCTGGTCGTGCAGTAAAACTAGGCAAATACTTATTTAATGCTTCAAATAATTGCAATTTCTGCTCCAAATTTATTTCCGAACTTCGGTCTATTATCTGGGCCAATTCTTCGCTTTGGATATCCCTGGGGTCTGCACATCTTGTCTCGCTCGGTTCTTGGACGCGATAACAGTCTGCAGCGCTGAAGGTTACGTCATCTTCTTCCGCCAATACCCCACTGCGCCCCTGGTCCACGCACGCTGCCTCGACTTTCTCAAACTGATTTCGTACAGCCTCTGTCAAAACCAATTTACTCCCGCGATTTTCTTCAGTCAATACATTGCTTGTAAAACTCATTTCCTTGGGATGAACAAATTTTTTATTATTTTCTTCAGTTACTTGAAATTGAACACTCTTAGTTTGTCCTTGACGAACATATTCTAACTTTCCTAAGTCGAAACACAGATGAATACCGTATTCTTTCAAAAAGCTACAACCCAAAATAACATCACAATTCAATTGTGGGGCCACCAAAAACACTGCTTCAAATGTCTCTTCCTCAATGTTGAATTCCATTAATATTTGTAACTTAATTCCCTTTGACCTTTTGCCAAATGCAGTTACTAAATTTATTCCTTGGACAGGCAAAGTCAACACTTCAATCCCAGCCTTACTCAACTTGTCAAATTTATCTTGGGATATTAAATTCACTTCACTCCCAGAATCCAACAATGCAATTGCAACTTCCTTGTTTTCAAACTTAATTGTAATTTGTGGACTTTTGCTTAAATCTTCCTCATTAATAAACAATACTATTTGGTCACAATCAGTTTTCCCTTGATCAATTTCTTTAGACAACGTTAAATTTTCCGAGGGACCTAAACTTATAGTTTTCTGAAATATGGAAGCAATTCGGTCCTCAAGGCTCCCTACACTTAGTTTTCCTCAGTTCCTCTAGGCCTTTCCTCTCGGTTATTTCTTTCTTGATCCCTACTCCTGCCCCAGATGTTATTTCTGCTTTCTTCAGGTCTGCTTCTTTCTTCACGAGAGTCCCGCCCCCTATAGCTCATCTGGTCTCTATTTCTTCTCCAAATTTCCCTTTCATTTGGAACATATCTTTGTACTTGCCGCACCTGTCCTGGCCCTCCGAACCTGGAGTCCCCACTTCGATTCGGCGGGTTATTTTGCTGAGGACGACTATTTCTCTGACTATGATCACATACTGACGTCCGTTCTTTCATCAACTCAAGTCTCTTTAAGACTTCCAAAACTTTTGCTACTTTGTTTAATTTGGTGCTCACCAATATTTTTTTGTATTTCTTGGGGGTAATGACAGCGCAATGCTTCAATAATCTCGTTATCGGTTAACTTAGGTTCTAAGTATGATGCCATGGTTGCATACTTCAAAAAGTGGGCTGACAAGGATAATCCAGTCGCCTTATCGTATTTACTTTGGTACAGCCTGCACTTTACCAACCCCTGTTGTGCAGCTGACCACCACGTAGATAAGAATTCAGACTTGAATTGTTCGTAGCTTACAAACGTCATGCCGGTAGCTTCAAGCCACTGTTTTGATACTGAGCCTACTATGGATTTCTTTGCTACAATTAGCCACAGTTGTTGCTGTATCCCTCGAAATTCGAAAAATTCCTCTAATTGTCTAATATGTGAAACTGGGTTCATGCCCTTGTCTTCATCAAATAATGGTAATGCAAACTCCGTACTTCCTAAATTTCCTGTTGCCTTCACAGACTCCAAATTACTACTTCCTTTGTTTACATCTCCTCTCGCGTTTACTGCACTGCCATCAGTCACAACGCCAGTCCTTTCAACTGGGATTCGTATCTGGTTGCCTACCTTCAGTTTTAACTGAACAATTTCTTGTTCTAAACTTTTAAGTTCACTTTGTAGTTTTAACTGGTCAACATTAACATTTTGTTCCAATCTACTTTCCTGCTCCCTCAGTTGCCTGGAAACATTACTGGTACTACTTTCCAGTTTCTTTTGAATCATGTCTATTGCTACTTTAACTGTCATGATTTCCCTGGCAGTCTCGACTTTGTTGTTTTCTACTATTCCCTGAATTTCCTTGACCTTCTGCCTTATTTGGACATTTTCTGTTTCCTGGTGAATAACCAACTGTTCCAACTTAGCATCCTGTTCTTTCCTTTCTTTTTCAAACTGTTGCTTTACTCCTATCATTTCTCGTTCTAACTTGCCTTGCCATTTCGTAACTTCTTGTTTTACTTGGTTAATTTCAACAGTAACCTTTCCAACCTCAGCAGCTAAATTTTTGGACAATTCTTTTTTTAATTGTTCTTTTGACCTTTAACATTCTAAAACTATTCTTTCCTCAGACTGCTTTACCTCTATCCTAGTTCTTTCTTCCGCTTGCTTTGCCTCTGCCCTTTGTTGTTCTAGTTGCTGGAACAACTGCTGCATCATACTCATCATGGTTTGCAAGTCTGAACTGCTAACCTTTTCCCCCTGACCATTACTTCTTTCTGGGCTTGACCTTTCTGTTTCTAACATGTCTGAATTTAGGATTTCTTTACTTCCTATTCTTTCATCACTATCTTCACTAACATCTCCTAACCTCCCCCCTTCTATTTCTAGTGCTGGCGTTAATTCTATCGCCTCTGGAGATTTTTCCCTAGATCCTAAGTCCATTTCATCGGACATCGTATCCACTGTTCTACTCCGCAATGCACGTTGTGACATTATTACTATTGTTCACTACTCACAGTTCTCTTGAGTTTTACCACCTCCGGTGTTTGTTGAGTGTTATCGTGAAGAAGTGCCAACGTTGATTAGAACTCGTGCCCCGCATTGGTCGCCACCTCTACTACTGTCCCTCCTCTTCTTCTTTTGTGCCCGCTGCTCCGGCTGCTCCTGCTTGCCGCTCCTTCCACCTTTACCCCTTCTTTGCTATTTGGGTACTGAGGTAACCAGGTTGGATTTAGGATAATGGTAGGCATGGATCCCTATCTCAGGTCGATAACAGGTCTTTCTTCGGAGAAACTTTAACACGACTAACCCGTGGCTTTACCTTAGGTTTAATATACTCATTTTTGGTCACAGTCACTATTTATGGCAGTTACATTTACACTGTTCCGCTTACAAAGGCGATTCTATGAAGAAACAAAGCAACTGCCTCCACTCACTAGGAGGGTCTCTTATTATCTGTTGCCTACTACTGGCTCGGTGACGCTAACGGACCTACGGGCCTTCCCAGCACCACACCCTAGATGACATCATTCCCCACATCAATCCGGGGATCCACCACCCATTCTCCATCTGCAAAACTGCACATGTGAAATAATGCCGTGCTGTTATCACGTAGGCACCTCCCCTCCAGGGCCTCACACATTCAAGTTCACTAGTAAACGGTTACACTCTGTTGATCATCTCCAGGATACTCCTAGACTCCTCCGACATCTGGTATGATGTACTGGACTCTATCCAATCCCCAGCTGACTGCTAGCTGTCGACTTTCTTTTGTTTCTAACTTCAGGTCCTCTTATTGATTTCGTGATAAAGCTGGATTGGCTGCTGCCATCCAGTACGGGTCTAGTCAGTTTGCTTAGACCTGTGGGCCCCCTAACCCAGACACGTGTGGTCTGCAGGTAGATGAAATTGGAAGAGGTAACTCCTACATTGCTGACTGAGATGGGTGGTACTTGGCAGAAATGGGCAGTATTGTGTTCCGTGCTGTTGCATATGGATCTGTGGTGGCTTCTCTTGCAATTTGTGCACAGTGCTCTTCCTTTCTTACTACAAGTGCGGGCTTTGTGGCCCCAATTGAGGCAAATAAAGCAGCGGTTTGCGGCCTTCAGCTTCTCTATGCGGCTGCAAGTAGCGATGACAGTATCGCAGTCTTGGGCCCAGTGACAGCGGCTCTCGATAAAGATACAGAAGAGTTCCATAGGTCCTTTAATTCTTCGAATATTCTTCTGGTTTTTCGAGCTGATGTGGAAGGTTGCCACCGTCGGAGTGAGGTTAGATACGCTCAAAGACTCACCGCAAATTTTCTGGGTAGTTAGGGCTCCCTCTACTTCAACACTCAGGAACTCCATTAATTTTATGATATCACCCTCGGAGAGCTGTTCCCTCTTCACGTGAATGGTCCATCTCCTGCATACATCATCAGGGAATGCGCGAAATATTTTTGGCGCCAGTACTCTACTGTAGGCGTTAACGTCTCCCCCTATCACCTGGAGGGCCTGGATACTTCTGTTACACTCTATGAACGTTGTGTTGAGAGCTTCGGGGGACGCGGTCATAATCAGCGTGACGTCTTGTAGGTAGTCTAGGTGGGCCTGTATTATGTGGTTCCGGTCCCCATACCGTTTGTGAAGAATCTTCTTGGTGTCTTCATATGTTAATGCTGAAACAGAGATGCCCTCTACCAACAGCTTCGGCTCTTCCCTCGAAATACGTGTTTGTTGACAGCTGAGAGGGATGGGTCCTTATCAATGGATGACTCAAATTGTTCCCAGAAGCGTGACCAACTGTCCACGTCTCCTGAGAACAGCTCTAACTTGATGGGAGGTAATTTGACCGAATGAACAAATGATGGGGTGGGAACAGCTGCAGCGGAGGTTTCACTGATTGTTAAATCGGCCATTGTCGCAGAAAGCCTCTTCTCGATCCCTCGCACTGCCTTCTGGATCGCGCACTTGGCAGTGTCGATATATTCTTCACAAATCGCCACGTCTGTGTCGTATTCATCATCTGTGAGGAGGTTGTGGATGGAGTCATCCAGTCGCAACATATGTTCTAATGCTTCCTTGAACACGTTCCTTGTAATGTTCATAATCGTCAAGGGAAGTCTCTCCTGTGAACGAGTTAATCAAATTGGCAAAACGTATAATGTCATTTTGTTCCCTTATACGTTTCCTCTTAAGGTTATGTAGCTGCGCCACGTCGGCCATTATGAAAATTGTACACTCCTTCTCTCTCCCTCTCAAAGATGGTGGGATACTTGTAAGTCATGATACCGACTGAGTTTCTTGTAGTTCTGCTTTCCTTCACCAGGTACATGACAGGGTCTGGAATGCGTTTCTGTGTTATGGTGTCACTTGCCTGCATGTCCGAAGATCTTGGCGTCTATGTGTTTCTGTGTCCAGAACTCTTCTCACCCAATTTCTTCACTTGAAAATACACTCCACAAGCTTCACAATTATAACAACACCTTCTTACATTTTACGTCATGTAATGGCTCGCTTATCCCAGGTTTTGGCACCAAAATGTGGGAGCAAGTAAAACAGCACTATTCACACAGTAGCCATATTTATTTTCTCTCTTTTCCCCTACATGTCTTCACCATAGAGGCCGAAAGTTAGGAGAGGAAGGGGATTACATAGAGGAAGAAATGCGATGGTGGTGCGGTTGTAGGTAAGAGACGTCAGTCCTCCACAAATGGCTATTTACACCTGTGTCAAAATAAAATTCTACAAAAGGTAAAATCTGTATGCACATATGTGAGATTTTATGCACATTTATACAAGGTGCGGCAATAAAGAAACCAGATTCATGCTCTAACCCTTTATTGAAAAAAATCAGACAATCGAAATGTTATCCCCTTCAATGTAGTCCCCTCCCCGATCCCTACACCGCTCCATGCGATTTTTCCACTGTTGGAAACAGTGCTGCAGGTCATCTTGTGTTATGCTCTTCAAGAGTTGCATCGCTTTTGCTTTCACTGCATCCACGGACTTGAACCTGGTCCCTTTGAGCGCAGACTTGATTTTTGGGAAGAGAAAAAAGTCGCATGGTGCTAGGTCCGGAGAATACGGTGGATGTTCCATCACTGGAATGTTGTTTTTTGCCAAATACCTCTTCACAGATAGCGCGTTGTGTGCTGGCGCGTTGTCGTGATGAAGAACCCATGAGGCATTCTTCCACATGTCTGGTCTCCTTCGTCGCACACGTTCACGGAGGTACGTCAAAACATTTTTATAATAAACCTGATTGACAGTCTGACCTTCAGGCACCCAATCAATGTAGATTACCCCCCGGATATCGAAAAAAACAATCATCATTGCTTTGAATTTGGACTTGCTCATGCGCGCTTTCTTCTTCCTAGGGGATTTGGGGCTCTTCCAATGCATGGATTGTCGCTTAGTCTCTGGATCATATTGAAGAATCCAAGTTTCGTCACACGTAATTACGTTTTGGAAGAAATCAGGATCATTTTCAATGTTTTCAAGAGTGTCAACACAGCAATTCACTCGATGTTCCTTTTGCTGGGGGGTAAGGATTTTTGGCACCACTTTAGCACACACCTTTTTCATGCCCAGATCGTCGTGCAAAATCTGTCTAACACTTTCCTTATTGATGTTCGTAAGTTCAGAAATTGCTCGAATGCTCAGTCGACGATCTCTTCGAACAATTCTAGCGACCTTCTCCACATTCTCTGGAGTTTTCGCAGTGGAAGGACGGCCCGATTTTGGATCGTTCCCGACGTTTTTCCTACCCTCCATAAACTTCTTAAACCACTCGAAAACTTGCGTGCGAGATAGACACTGATCACCATATACTTCTGTCAACAAATTGTAAGTTTCAGTGGCAGATTTTCCAAGTTTTGTGAGGAATTTGATGTTAACACATTGTTCTACATTAGCACTCAGCATTATTCCGACGGAGCTCAGACACACGATCCGCTTCTAACAGTGGTCATGGCCATACTAACCAATGCCGTGAATGAAACTTTGTGTGACGGTAGAGGGAAGTCCAGGGGTCAATGCCCTACCCTCGTCTTCGTCATCGACATGGCCAGAAATGAGTCATAAAAGTAATCCGGTTTCTTTATTGCCGCACCTTGTATGTGTCAGACTGTGATGTGGACTAATGAAAGCTAATGGTATGTCGGTGGCTATGGTATATTAAATTTACAGAACTTCCAAAGGAAATAAGAATACCAGACTGCATATCGGTCGAGAGGTTTTAAAAATGATGAAATTAGAAAGGCATGGACACAGGCATTTCTAGTGCTCAGTAGGAACAATGTACAGGATTCATATTTTTAGAACTGGCTTAAAATAATGTGGGTTAAATCATCTTGGAGAGCCATATACTGTTCACAAATGCCATACCATCACACATGATGTCTGTCATCACAGAGAATGTTTTGCAGTGTGTAACCTTCAATTAGATTGTACAGAGTAATAAGGGGGCTTGGTAGTAAGCTGACAATGGCTGTCTATGCAACAGACAGATGTACATATGTAAGATGAGTATGAATGATCCAGGGCCTTGCACATGACAAAGTTGACCGTGAGGAAGATCCTCATGATTATATAGGCCTTTATGATCAAAAAGTGGCAACATGACATTGGCATATGATTTCATCTGCTGTGCATTTCTCAGATAATGTGAACTGGGACACTTTCTCTTCGTGGTTTGTTGGTTTCTATTGAAATCAGGTGTAAATAGATTATTTATCAGCAATTACAATGCTCAATAGGAAGGCTGAATCTTTTATAGCACGGATGGAGATCAACTCAATTAGGCTATACTGTAACCGTCCTTCGGTTCTGCTAGCCCCGGTAGAGCAATTCGACTCCTCTCAGGGCGTGTTGACTGGCCAAGACTTGGGTGATTAGTGGTGCTTTAGGCGTAGGGAAGTCACCTCAACACCAATTAACTGTATGGATTCTTTATTAAATCTGCACTAATTAAATGGAAACAGCACCGTAGTGGTACACTTCACAGATTCGTGCATGTAGGCTTACTTACTGTTCTGGGATGCACACTTAATAGTCACCACAGGGCGTGTTTACGGGGATCAGAACACGTGTACCCCCGGTGAATGTAACTTTCAAAGTCCTCCTTGCCAATCACCCTCTGAATGGTAAATTTGCCCTGGTTACCAAAATTCGGGCAAAGGACCTCCCACTTCAGATGATGGTTGGCTGGACCGGGCAGACTGGGAGGTTGCTTATCATTCTCCTCCAATTAGGAAAGCGAATATCCACTAGTGTACAATTTAGGGGTGAACTTTGCCACCTGCTGTTTGGTTGTCAAACTGAGATTTTGGGGTAGCAGGAAATGACGCTGCTAAATTTATAACTTCCCCTGTCAAGTTTAGAATTTCTACAGGACTCTGCCTTGTGTTACGCATTACATTGACTGATTTACGAATGGGCAGCTGGCTTCAAGCTTGACCCAAGCCACTTGCTGCATGTCTCAAGGGGGAAAATTTCAAATTGTGAGGCGAAAGTGAACCTAACCATACACAAACATGAATTGACCTTCCCATAAACTGGACAGTTACAACCTCCCAAGCGAAATATGACTATTCTGGGGCAGCCTGAATATGTCAACATTTCATCTTACTGCCATTTCTCCTCCCTTTCCACACACAAATGAAGCCTAGAAAAAGTACACACTAAATGTAAATAGACAATACCTTAATTGACCCTAAGGTCCACCACTGGCAGCAATAGCAAGAGGCTTACCATGTACAACGCATATGAAAATTTAGGTGGGTTTCGGCCCCTTTGCTACAAACAGTACCATTCAGTTAACATAACAGAAATGAAAGTTCACACAGTCATTGAGACAATACTTAAATGGGCTGACAGTACAAAGTCCCTTGTTGTCTCTTTCTTTGACTCCAATACATTTTGTCAGACTTTTGAAACTTACATCTTACAACTAAAATTGTTTATTGCCTCACTTCTAGTTTTTACCCCTTCCAGTCCTGTTGTTGCTCATGTCCCTACCATTGTTTTGACCACTTTCTTGAAGTTCACTTCTGGTTCACTCGCACATTGCCACATTTATGGGCCTCACTGGACAATACCTCACTCCCTAAGTTGCTTCTTCACCTCGGATTTACAGCTTGTTTCACACTACCAGGTCTTACACTTAGCTGGCAACTCATCTCCTACAATTCGGTTCATACAGGCTTAACATTTTCATTGTCCTAACATACCCATACAAGTATGTAATATTTTTCTGTGACACACTGACCATAACAATGGTTGGTTCCTACCATTAGAATTTAGGCTAGTGTAAGCTTAATTGTCTCTCCCTTGCCCACTCTCTTTCAGACCTATGAGTTCAAACTTTCTCCTGCCTTTCCTCATTCACTCCTTGCCGAAGCCGATTGAAAGTTACACATTTACAAGCCCTCTCTGTCATCCCCTTTACAAGTATTTCCATACAAAGGCGCGCAGGCCTACATAGAAAGTTGGTATTCACACAGCCATCTCACCCCAGCGCAGCAATTACTGAGCAACTCTTCCCACACACAATTCCTCAAATTTCGGATCAT